TGTGTGTGTGTGTGTGTCCTCTTCAAAACAGAATGAAATGAGCTGTCAATATGTCATTTTAAGGTGCTCAGCAGAGGAAGAAATGCAAAAAACATAAATCTGCCTGTTGATTGGACCACTACTCCTCCTTCAGACACAAACACACACATAAAAACACACAACAGTGTGTTTATTTCACATCTGCACACACACACACGACACACAGTACACACAGAGTACACACAGAGTAACAGAGTACACAGAGAGGGAGGTACGCCCACACAAACTGTGATGTTGATAAATCATTCAGAAGAAGGAAACAGGTTTTTGTGGCTCAGTAAAGCTCAACACTGCCCCCTGCTGGTTGCACAGCTCGCTGCATTTATCAGCTGCAGCATGAAGACTTTATGAAATATGATGTTTTGTTATTAATGAAACTTGTACAAGTACAGCTGAAACCATTAGTGGATTGAGATACAATGAATTGGCCTGTGGACGGGGTGAGTTAATCCACTGGTTCCCAACCTTTTTCCTTCAGGGAGTCAACTGACTGTATTTAATGTATATTTTATATTATATATAACAACAACAATAACATATATATATATATATATATATATAGACTGATAAACTAACACAATAACTGCAGGAAGTTCATTTTGAGCAGATTATTTCCTGTGAATATTGATGAGTTTTCCTGATATTTTTATGCAGTTTTCTGTCTGTGTAATTTATTTTTTAACAATCATACAAATTATTTAACCAAACACTTTCTTCACAGAAATAAACAAAAACTTGATTTTAAGGGGTGCATTAGAGAAGTTTGCTGTTAAAACCAACGAGGTAAAAGATATAAAGAGTGTCAGGGACAATAGAACAGTTAAGAATATTAAGTCTGATTGTTAAACATAATAAAAATATAGAATACAGAGAATGTATCAAAATATCAGGAAAACTCATCTGTGATCAATATTCACAGGAAATAAGTTCACTGTTTGGGTTCATTGATCAGTTGATCAGCTGTTCTCTACTGTTATTGATACTGATCAATATGAAATATATAGATCATACAGTCAGTTTACTCCTGTTGAGGCTTCGTTCTGTCATTCAGGATCTAATAATCTTCATCATTCTGAACATAACTAATGTTGAGGATGACTCATTTTCACTCCTGATACTTAAAAAGAGGCAAGAACTGTCTGTCTTAAGTTATATAAAATATTAGGAATTTGGTGTGAATCTATCCCATAATAATCTGCAAATCAATATCAGTATTTTCTATACTTTAAAGTGAATATTAGGCCAACAGAAGATAAGATTAATATTGTAGTAGAATAAACCTACATATGATCTGCTGAAGCTGTCTCAGCTCCACTCGTTCAAGTCTGAAACCAGTATTAAGATTTCTGATCATAGACTTTAGTTGCAAAAGAATTAAAGCATATTAACAATATATATACAACACACACGATATTAAAGTTTGTATTTTAGTCATGCTACAACCACCATTAAAATAAAAATAAAGCAATATATACAGTTATTTATGTATTGTTTACATATAAGGAAATAATTCTGCAGTACATGTTTTGAATTTGCTTCAGGGTGAATAATAAGTTTTATTTCTGAACCAGAACTGTTGAGTTTTCTGTTAGAAATGTTCAGT